TTTCTAACAAAAAGCAAGGTCTGTTTGTGTTGGGCGGCATGCTGGAGACTCACCATACTTTTCTTTCTACTGAACAGATATATACGACACGAGTTCTGTAATCATAAAGATAACTACGTATAAGAATATTGCTCTTTTTTCTTTTGACAATTTACAATATTATTTATACAGGCACAGCAAGCAGGACTATGATTGATTTCATAAAGAGCCGATCAGTTTTGCGAAGCTGATCAGGACAATTTCAACCTCCAAACAGTGATGGTGTATTACGAAGCTGTTTGAACTCTCTTCCCGGTCAATGATGGTGAATCGCAAAGTTGACCAGGACAATTAAAATCTTTCGAGCCGATCAAAACGAGCCTCGAAGGTATCTTCATCAGACCAAATTTTGGATATCATTACTGATCCGACTAGAGCCGACAAAAGCCGATCAAACCGAGCTGAGGAGGTGGCCAGATGATCAAATCAACCCGACATCTTTTCGAGCCGATCAAACCGAGCTTCGAGGATGATTGCTAGATTGAAGGTGCGTCAATGGACCACTTTAACATTAATCGTTTATACAATTAATGATAAAGTGGGGGGGCAAACTGTTGACGCGTGTTTTTATGCCCCCACGAAGCGATCAACCGGCTTAGGAGGGACCCAGATGATTGATTCAGCTATCTTTCCCAGAAGCCGATTCAAACCGGGATGCTTCGAGAGAATTGCCTGATAGAGGCGCGTCAATGACCACTTTAAAATTATATCGTTTATACAATTAATGATAAATGGGGGGGCAAAACTGTTGACGCGTGATTTTGTGCCTCCACCTGACCCGATGATGATATGAGGACAAGGGACAAAGTATCACGATAAACCAGAAGTGTTTGAACCAAAAATTGAAAATCAACCGCCCAAAGGAGCCCTAACCCATGTTTAAGGGCTGCGTCACCGCAGCTAGTACCTGCGTGACGGCACCTTAGCTGCATAGCAGCTCTTAACAGGGCTTGACAACCTCTGGCGTCGCGTCATCCGGTGCAACGGCCTGCACTGTTTGATGGATACGCGGCAACTGTACGGAAATGGTAAGTCTGCGTCACGCAGCTTACGGGTGCGGTCACGCAAGCTTTCTACCCGCGTGACGCGACTGCCCTGTTGCAGCTAGCCAATATTAAATACAACTTTTCACAGCAAAAATGGGACTTTAGCCCATTTTATCTCATTTTTCTCTAAAGAAATCCAGAAACAAAAAACTAAGTTTTCGACTAAAACGGCTAGGTTTTCTTCCCCAAGAACTCAAGTGAGTAACCTTGAGGAAGATCAAACCTTTAACCATTTGAGTTTTGAAATTAAGAAACAAAAAATATAAGAAAAGAAAAAGAGAGAAAGAGAGAAAGAACTTGGTTCTATCACACTTCTGGAATCGTGAAACAATGTCTCTAAATCAATTTCAGTGCATGCAATCCTCAAATCTGAGGGCTAGGTAACGATTCTAACTCCTCTTTTTAGTTTCTAATTTTCTATCTCTTAAAAATCCCATTTTTATAGTATTTGCTTAATTTGGTATTGGTTAAAAGACATTTGGCCCATTTTTGAGTATTTCCGGGTTGTATTAAATCACTGTTAACAAAAAAGAAATGTAAAAAAGGGTAGTTTGAAAGGTAGTTGTTGTGGACCAGAGCAGTCGCGTCACACAGCTACTACCTGCGTGACGCGGCTGTTCATGTCCAAAAGCCTTTGATTGGGACTGGACCACCTGCGTGACGTAGCTATTTGTACACCCAGTATACTTTTATTTTTATATTTGTATCTAATATTTTGCTTTGAATAAATAATCAATATACCTGAGGATTTTAATAAAGTCACGAACAGAAGTCACAAATAGTTCCGTCACGTAGGTAAAGTTGCGCCACGCGACTGTTTTCTTCTCATAAAACACCGCATTGACGCGGCTGTTCTTCCATAGAACCCCGCGTGACGCGGCTGTCCTAATATCAAGTAATATAAAAAGAGTTCCGTCACGCGACTGTTTCTTCAAATAGAACACCCGCGGTGACCGCGACTGTTCTCGTGACGCGACTGTTCTAAATACTAGTAATATGATAGAGTTCCGTCACGTGACTGTTCTTCATAGAACAGCTGCGTGACGCAACTTTTATAACTTCCAGAATAAAGGACAAGAGTTGCGCCACGCGACTGTTCTTCCATAGAACACCCGCGTGACGCGACTGTTTCCCAGTTCTAATTTATTTTTGTCATTTTATTTTTATCTCATTTCATTAAATAGATTTTTATCATAACCCGGAAAATGATCAATTATGGGCAAACTGAGTCTTAACCAAACTGAATCAATTGATTATTGATGATTATGAGATTTTTAGGATTTATTTTTTTTATCATTAATTATACTATTAAATTCGGTTTTGTGGCCCGCCTTTAACCATAAGGCAAGAGCGGGTCTTTTAATTTTTATTTGTTGAATGTGGAATATGGTGGATGAATGATGGTTGTGATGCTTAATTTATGATGAATGCAATGAACAATTCTAATTGGGACGATTAAATAATTTTCCATATAGGAACTCGGTTCGATTTGTTCGGGTTGGGTTTAAATAATAATTGGCTTTTCTAAAATAAAATCAATTAGAAATCGTAGTTATAAAAGAGGCCGGTTTTTCTGGGCATCAGCTTCCAAACGGGCCGGTGTAAATCCCAATTCCTTCCTTAGAACTCATTGGTTTTCGCCTGACCAATTTTTCTAAAATAATAGGCTTGAATTAAAATTGGGTTAAATGAAGTCCCTTTTTATAAATATAATTGGAAACGGTCCCCATTGCCGAAATTAATGGTGGCGACTCAAAAATGATTTATAAGACCGATTATCGCACCATGGAATCCAAAAAAGAGGTTTAAATCACCACTTTTCCAAAATATAACATATTTTATCAAACATTAAACTTTTGATTTTCTTCGGGAAAAACAATTTAATCTAATCAGCATATATGATAAATTGAAATATTACAATCTACATCGTAATATTTAGCATTATATAAAAATGGCATTCCAAATCCCAAATATCATTTAATTACTTATATTTATATTTAAATAATTTATCATTTCGGATTCACTTGGTAGAAAACCCTTTTATTTCAAGCAATAATATATTCCACAAAATTACTTTTCTTAAATTTATTTAATTATTAAATACTAATTGCACATCGATATCATCTTTTAGGATTGAAATTCTACTCTTTAGAACAAATTAAAAACTATTTGCAAAATCATTTACTTGAATAGGCCATACTGATCTTACTTTGAGAAAATACAAGAAAACACATTTTTCTTGTATTTATACCACATCAAGCTTTTCAAATCTTTCTGTATTCATACTTTCAAGATAGTGAACATATCACACTTATCTATGTATATTAATACAAAAAGTACTTTAATTATTTCACAACATAAGACACTATCATTCTTTTCTTATTAGACTGATTATACTTACTTAAAACACATATGATTGTCCGTAGCTACACATTTCTTTATTTTCTTTTAGAATACCATTAAAATTAGTAAACAATGTCAGAAAAAGTAATGAATCTAGTACATGAATTTAGAACTTCAACTATTAATTATTATGTGGAAGCAATTTGCATACCTAATTCGTAATTTAAAGTAAAGTTCACGATAGCTTATCAGCAATTAATTGCAATCGCACACTCAAACAGGAAATTATAATTTATAAAAGAGGGACTAGATCTTCCTCTCCGTTTTCTTATTCACAAGGCGGCTTTCAATGGGACTAGTCAATATTAAGGTTAACAAAGGAGAGGGGACCTGTGAATACTCAAATTTTGACTTTTCTACAATGTCAATGCCGGACTGCAAATAAGTCCTTATAGGACTAGACCTACGTTTCTAACTGCCTTACTGTACTAGTCCACTAGAGGTGCATAAATACATTACACATTTGATCACATAAACACAAAATCGGGCTTCACACACATTCTTAAACTGTACTTATTCAGTTCGTTTTTGCAAACTAAAAAAGTCCACAATTAATAGTAGCCCTCATTAAAATTTCTAACATTCTCCCACTTCGACAATATTAATTGTGACATTTTTTATTTATAAAGAACGGTAGCAAGCAAAGAATCAAGGAGGAGTGTTGAAGCATAGAAAAACTCTTTTTGCTATGTATAAATCAAGATCCACTTTAATTATTTCAATAAATACATTAAAAATCCATTGTAAGAGAAATTTCAAAGTTTGTAGATGTTCGAAGGTGTTGTAACTTCTCTCTACTTCATCAATTTTTAAGCCATATTAATTTAATTTGAGTTATTCAAAATAATTATAAAGCCAAATTGAAATTTATTTTTTTTATCGTGTCTCTATCTCAATGTTTACCTTTAAGTGAATAAATCCTAACGCATATGCTAATATGCTAATAATTTACTTCCAATTAGGTGTTGTCTGACTGGTTTTAAACCAAAAGAGTTTTCGCTAATTTAATGAATTAAGGAGAGGGTTCTGGCCCATTGGGGCATTTGGATGAATTAAAAAGGTTTCTTTACTAATAATGGAATTAAGGACGAGGGGGTTCCTGGTCCATTTGGGGCATTTTGGATGAATTAAAAAAAAAAAAGTAATAGTGATAAAAATCTTGCTTGCGTCACGCTAAGAGTGGGAAATTCTGAATTTAGAAAACAAAAGATTTCTGTGGTTATAACTTTAATGTAATTGGCGCATTTTTGGCTTAAAAAATCGTGGTAAACATTCCAAAACTTACCAACTATGCAAGAAATGCTACTAATAGGGACTGAATTTGCATACGAAAATATCGCAGGTTTTCTGTACTTTTTGATAAAATTAGTTGAATGCAAGAGCTATTGAAGAAATTCAAAAGCAAAAAAAATTTTTATAATTCCCAACGACATTAGCTAAAGGCATAGGAGAAGCACTCATAGCGAAAAGAAAACAATTGAAATCACTTTAATAAATGTTAGTCAATTCATTAATGTTGATTCATCTAATGCTATTGTTTGCTTCTCCCATTGTAGCACACGACTTTGATGTGACAAAATATGGTGCCAAGTGTGATGAAAAATCAGATATTTCTCAAGTATGAGCACGTATATATCCTTATTCATTTCATTTATAAATATTTTGAAACTAACTTTTGTATGCGTTTTTTTATTTTTTTCTTAGCCATTGAGGAAAGCTTGGGCTGATGCTTGTTCAACACCAGGTGCAGCCAAAGTTATCATACCAAAGGGTACATATTCTTTACTTGAAGTAGATCTAGTAGGTCCTTGTAAAGGTTCAATGACATTGCAAATTGAAGGAACCGTAAAAGGCCCCACAACCCCCGCGCTCACTCTGGGGATTTCTTGGGTCAGATAAAGTGATGTTGATTGTCTCACTGTAAAATGGTGGTTCGGTTGGAACTTTTTTTGACGGACAAGGAAAAATGGCATGGGGATGAATAATTGTCATAAAGATTCAAACTGCAAGATGTTGCCTGTGGTAAGCGTTTTCATTTCCTTATTAATAGATAATTGTGAAATTAGTACTGACAAACTTTTTGTTTCCTTTTCGTATTCCTATTACTATAAAAATTTATCAGAATATAAGGTTTGATTTCATTACCAATAGCAAAGTCCAACATATAACCTCCCTCGACTGTAAACATTTTCACATTAACATTTTGGGATGCAAAAACTTAACTTTTGAACAAGTTACAATATCAGCTCTAGAAGATAGTGCCAACACAGATGGAATTCATATTGGGTATTGGGCGCTCTCAAGGGATAATATTATCAATACAAGAATTGGGCCTGGTGATGATGTATCTCATTGGGATGGATCTGAAGAAAGTAAGGCAATCACAGCTGTAGCATGGGGCCAGGGTCATCGGCATCAGTATTAGGGAGCTTAGGAAAGTATTGAAAATGAACAGGAACACCCCGTGAATGGAATTTTCATGTTAAAAAACAAGTCCTCTTCAATACAGACATAATGGTGTGAGAATTAAATCCTCGGCAGCAAGTATGCTGCTACATCTGCCCGCTCAGAAATATATTCTTGAGGCATCCACGAATGAAAACGTCAGGCAACCCTATCCTATTAGAACCAAATTGTATTGTCCGTGGAATCCAATTGCAACGAAAATTCGAGTAATTTTTTAGCAAAGAGTACAGTCTTCTAGTTATGTTATCATAAATTTTTTTGGTTCTTATAAGTGATCACTGTTGTTATTTCTCTTTTCCTTATCTTGGTTTAGGCTCCATGTTCAAAAGTTAAAATCAGCAACTGTCGGTTTCAAAATATAAAGGGAACTATCTGCAACTCCGTTGCTCTTGAACTTTCTGTTGCAGTGTGGCCCATCCATGTGAAAACTGTTGGAAACTCTGAATATTGACCTAACATATTAAGTGGTAAGGAAGGATCCTCATAAAAATCGAGTATTAACAAATGTAAGCAAAGATTACAGGAATTCTCAAAATCCCAAGGTAGGTTATTAATGTAAACGTTGCATTGAGAAGACCTGGTACTATTATCTTATAGGATCGATTGTCATGTGGATGACGAGGATGTCTCATAGCTAATTTGTAACATATAGTATAACATGATTTTTTTATATATTTGATTAAAAATTATTTTGTTACCAAAGCATAAGATATGGATAATACATACAGATATATAATAGTTAAAGAAAACTATCAAAGATTTGATGTATAAAACTAAGATTATTTAGGAGAAATAATAATACTCTGATGTATAACTAATTATTAAGAGAAATATAATATCAACTCTTTAATATTCTAAGAAACACCTTCTCGCTAAAGTATTCTCCTACATTTCCTTTAGTCTCATAATTCCTAGAATCACACCCCTAAGATTGAGTCATAATTTATGTCATACTTTATTTCTAAAATGTTTGTGTTAAAACCTATAATATGTGTTTACAATGATTTTTCCACTACATATATTGTATGCCTATAATAAGGATATTCTCCATCTGCGTGTAAATGAAGTACTCCTATAATAATGTCTTTTTTATCATATTATTTGCCTATAATGATTTCTCCACTAACATCCTCTCCCACCCCCCATAAAGTTAGTATTGGTAATTATAACAACGACTATTTGAAAACCAGGTCAGTATGTCATTTTATTCATAGTTTTGGCGAACAAGTCAGCAATCTGGTCCTAAGATGAAACCGTAACTAGTTAAATGATGCCCTCTTACAAAACACATTTAGTATATTTAAGTGTTTTGTTCTCTTATAAAAGACAAGATTAGAAGCTATTTGAATTCTAAGAACACATCATCATATTTGTACTGGAGGATATCATTATTATAGGTATAAATTATGTCTAGTGGAAAATCCTGTTATCATAAGCATATAATATGTGTAATGTAGAAATTAATGGTAGACAAATATATGTGTTAATGGATACCTTTTAGGAATAACACAATTAATGGTAGACAAATATATGTGTTAATGGATACCTTTTAGGAATAACACATGACATAAATTAAGGCAAGACATTAGGCATGTGTTTGTACTTGTACGTTTTACAACTTTTTGCTTTTATTTATAGACTCGATTGTAATTAGTCCGAGTGTAGATCTTACCAATTCCACATTGTTGATGTTTCCTGAAAAGAGCGCAACCCTAAGACAATTGCTTTAGTGACTAAGTTTAAAAGCTAAGAGATAACTGTGAACACGTCTTTTTCACACTATCATGTTCAAACATGTTCAAAACGATAGCGAATCGTTAGAAAATCGAAGTTTAACTTAGTAGACAGAGGTGGCTTTTCCTCGCTCTTTTGATCATAAAATTAAAGAAAAATGGAATTTTTTCACAATATTTATAGCATTTGAAACTAGACATCTAGAGTTCCAACTGTATATTAAGGGCCAAAATCTGAGTTAAATTGTACCTCAAACTACTCAAATCAAAAGACCGAACTAAACAAGTCGAACTAGAGACCAAGTTGGACACTCGGCTACCAGCGACAACGGATTCGTGCCGGAGGACCGCCAGTGACAACCGGTCGATGTGAACCCCTTCCCCAGAAAATATAGGCATATAATGAATATGACTAGAGAAGAAATGCACGTGAATGTGTTGAGTCGCCACCCTTGTTTAATTATTTTAGGGTTAAACTAGGAAAAAACCCTAACTTGACATCCAATTTTAATTAACCTAATATTAGATTAATTATCCAATGTTTAAGGATGGTCTGCGAACCGAATGTTATCCTGAGACATATGTCATTGCTGATTGAACTAACCAATTGAAATGAAATGGGGGCTTTGCAGGTGAATGATGTTTAAATAGACCAAAAAGGATGTGTTTAAGTGATTTCGACTTGCCGCTTGGGAGTTAAATCCCAAAAGTGCCCTACGTACTTTTTCGTTTGAATTGGAGATCAAAGTCAACGTAGTCGATAGGGCCTTTTTTAAAAGGGCTTTGAAGGGTATGCTTCATGCATCAATGTGTGTATGCTTCGTTGCGATTTTGTTTAGGGCATGCTGCTAAACAATTGATTTCGTTTATTTGCCAAAAAGTGGATATTTAATTAGGGCAATTAAATTGCCAAAAATGGGTGTTGGGCTTATTGTTGCCAAAATGTTTGATCGGGCAATTTTATTGCCAAAAAATTGAGGTTTGGGCTTATTATTTTGCCCCAAAAGTTGCTTGATGGGCATTTTATTTGCCCCAAAAATTTGATGTTTGGGCTTTTTTGTTGCCAAAAGGTGTGATTTAAGGCTTTTAAGCCAAAAGAGCCAAAAAGAATGATTTAGGCAATTTGTTTGCCAAAAGATGATCATTTAGGCGATTGTCGCCAAAATTGATTATTTGAAGGCTTTTAGCCAAAATAAGTTGATTTAGGCAAATTGTTTGCCAAAAAATGTTGATTGGGCGATTGTCGCCAAAATTGATTGATTTAAGGCTTTTAGCCAAAAGATTGATTAATTTGAGCGATTTGTCACTAAAAGGGTTAATCTTATTTATAGGCAATTTGTTTGCCAAAAATTGATTGAACCGTAGGCAATTTGTTGCCAGAATTGATTGATTAAACTGTAGGCAATTTGTTGATTAAACTGTAGGCCAATTTGTTGCCAAAATTGTGATTGATTAAGGCTTTTAGGCCACAATTATTGATTAATTGAACTTTTTAGCCAGACTGTTCGAAATAAAAAGCGATAAAAACCGTAGGGTTATGAATTAACTAGTTCTTTAAAGCCAATTATTGTCGGATTTTAGGCTTTAATACCCACCGATTATTGGATTTGAACGGGCATTTTAAGCCTGAACTTAATTAATTGAAGGGCAATTTATTTGCCAAATTGATGAAATGAATGCATTTATGCAGTTGTAGAATTTAGGAGTAGAAGAGAAATTGCATGAAGTAGCTAACAATTAAATAGACAGGGATTAAATAGACAGGGTTTAGTTATTACCTGAGTCAGTCGTCGGCCACTTCTTAGCTCCAGATTAAGCTCCTCGTTAGGGGAATATTAATTAATTTTAAGTGACCAATTAACAAAGCAAGAGAGTAATAAAGCTAAACTAAAAATGCAGAAAAGCAGTAAAGAATCGCAAGGAACGTAAGGGAGAAGGAGTGTCCGTCAACACAGACTGAGTGAGTCAAAATGAAGACTCGGAGGCCATATTTATAGGCCAAAATCGGGCTGGAGGGCGGCAGCTGCCGCCGGCCCGGTTCCAGCGGCCGCTGCCGCTGTGAAGGGCTGCCGCAGCCGCGGTTTTTTGGGAGTTTCGGACCTCCGAAAAATATTCCGGGACCAGTTCCGCGATCCTTGCAATGTCCCGGATGTTTCAAGTACCATATTGGCATACTTCCGGTGAACTTCCAAAATGGCCTCCGGTCCGGCCGAACTACTTGCAGTCCAAAAAAAAAAGACTTTTCCGGAAGTTCCGGACCTCCAAAAATTATTCCGGGACCAGTTTTACGATCCTCGTAATTTTTCGGACGTTTTAAAGACATGATTTAGGCATTCTTTGTTGAACTCCATATTTAGCCTAGGCCACCTAAGTTAAATTATAACCTTTCCAACCAATTTGAAGCTTATAACCAAAGTTTTTTCTTGTTTACCCTTTTTAAACCTAGCCATTAAACCAATTTAAGTTTTTATCTCGAGTGCAATAATGTATAATTGAAGGATTTGATTCGTATTAAAACATAGCAAAAAAAGGGAGAAAATTCCATTAATACTAGCAAGTGAAGCAAGCAGAAAAACTCAAAGAGAAACGCCCTATAGAAGAAGCAATCAATCAAAAATTTAAGTTTGGGGAATTTAAGCAAGGAAAAATTATCAATAAATCATGAAGAGACCTCGCTAAAGCGTCTATAATTTTGAGCTAGTGAAAAACTTCAAGATAATCTCCCTTTACAAATAAAAATTTATTTTGATATGATGAAAATCTTGATATTTTACATTGTTTGCACTTTTTGTCTATCCTTTTATCCTTTTTCTTTGTTAACTAAAATTATACCTCTAAGGACCCCAACATAACCTATGGGAATGTTGATCTTTCTGATTGTGTGTATTTAAATAATCTTGATCTTTCTGATTGTGTATATTTCAATTGTGGAGAAGGGATTACTAATTTTCCCTATGGGAAT